TGCCCCCTGGGGTTATCTGAAACACGTGACACAGTCAAGAAGAACAGGCGAACAATAGAACTAAGTAACTCTTTCGTTATTACCAACTACATTCTCAACAAAATTTCCAGTCAATGGCGGCACTTTTCCGCATCTAAGCTTCATTTGTAAGGTTGTTGATTAATTTGGATTATGTTATCACAAATTGTTAACGGAAGTTCTTAGTTTAAATCAAGCGATTTAAGAGGAATTAATAACCAGAAACTCCTAGTCAAATGCCAATTCAGCCAACCAATGAGTTATTTTGAACGACTCATAAGCCCTTGGTTAAGGATATTGCTTCAGCCTCCGGCAGATTTGGGGCGTCAAAGACTTTGCAAACGCGCTGTTCGCCTTTCCCTTTCCTGAACATCAACCTTATTGTGGCGGCATGAGCTAGTACATGCCCTCCGGCAGGTTTCTTTGGATCAGTCACAAACACCCCACCTCCTGGGTCAGCTATAACTGCAACCAAAATTCATGATTGCGGAGTTAAGGCTGAGAACAAAAGCCAAAAAAAAAATGTAGCAGTACGAGAAAATTCATAGGACAAGTCAAGTTACCTTGATTTGTCATATAAACTGCAACATTGAATTCCTCGGCTATCTTAGTTATTCGAGAAAGCATCTGAGCAAGTCTTTGCTGAAAAATGGTAATTGCAAACAAAATTGACATATATATTATAGAAGAACTGTTATATCGATTATCAAGTATGTGCAGTTAGGGACTGACTTGGCGCTCTGCCAGCTCTCCTCTGCCTGAGAAGTCCACCCGAAATAGTGCAATGATAGAATCCACTATCTGCAAAATACTACTTGTGTCAGCCCTCTCGATATTTTAATTTTATTAAGACAACTCCCAGTCAAAACTCACCAGAAGTCTGAATGGTTCTTCGGACATTTTAGCTGCCAGACCGAGAAGAAGGTTGTACTGGTGCTCGTATGTATATGCGCGAGCATAGATAATCTTGCGCAGTCATGAGAACATACATATAATTAGCTGTCAGCAACAGTATTTGCCTCAGAATCCCTATATGGTATACGAAATAGAGGAAACTTACATTGTCTAGTACAGCCCCCGGATCCATGCCAAATCTCTCAGCTATGGGAACAATTCGGTCGGGACGGCTATTAAGTTCTGAAGTTAAGACGAAAACAGAAAAACCGAATAGCCAATAAAAGAAACAGAATATTTGGGCAATTATAGTTTGAAAACACAATCGCAAGATTTTCAAGAGTTCTTGGTTTTCGACTGAGATGTGAAAGAGGATACAAAGTTCCTTCTGTGTCAATGTAAGCAACTTTTCCATTACCTCCACGCATGCTAGTAGGAAGCTGGATCAACAACATATTATAAACGAAGGAAAAACAGCATGCGTCAGAAGCCAATTTATTTAAGTTTATGCGAACCTTTTACGCATCAATTATGTCACTGTGCAAGGGGGAAAAAAACAAAAAAAGTTTAGTAACGCATCCACAATTTTTTTTTTTTTTTTTGAAAAAACTGGTGTTTGAGAAGCTCCCTAGGCTTATAATCTGAGATATTTGGCATAATTCAAGTACACACATTTAAGATCCAGTTTCTTAAAGCACCAATGCATTTTAGTTTTAATCGAAGCTCCTCTCTGTTCACTCGCTCAACAGTCATAAAGCTCCAGCCTGCTTATTTAATATTATAATCTCACATCGATAGCACGTCAACATGGCAACACGCATCATGTAATGAAGGCAGGGACTCAACCTGAGTGGAAACGCAGAGAGTATGAGCAAGCTGCGTTTTTCCTGACCTGAAACATCATTATATATAAATGTTAAAACGGACTGCTTCGAAATTGGATAGCCACTAAAGTTGTCTGAAACTGGATATGCACTATGTTCCCACCGGAATTCCCCAAACGCTTCTGTAATCGCCAGTGTTTCAATTCCGCCTATCAATTTTAAAATAGTTGTCACATACAAGCATAGAAAGTTTGTAAGTAGTCAAACAGAGAGCACAGGAGAATTTCACTTTGCAAAACTACCTCCTAATAATTCATCGAGCGCTTGGCTCCCAGTTGTAATCCGAACTACGCTCTTTCTCTGTAACAGATTAGCAGACAAAAATTGAATTACGCTGCAAGAATTTCCAGAGCAGAACAGAGCCAAAATTGAAATGGAAAAGGCCAACAACTTACTTTGAGCAGCACATCACTTCCAGTAATATAACCAAAATTCTGGATCAAGAGGGAAAAAGAATAGAAGATCAAATCACAAGTCGAACAGTAAAAATGCATATCTAGTTGAATATGCACTGACCACGATTTTCTCAGCAGCTTCACAGATCTTGTCGACTTTTGCCTCCGATAAACCTTTGATACCGGTCAGATTCTATGGAATAGAATCATTTATTACTTAAAAGTCCAAGACATATTGAGAGCTAAATAAAATATAAATTGGAAGGGTTTTGTTATTATTAGACTAAAATTTAGCAAATAACGTAGGTATTATTAGTCAGGAACTATATTAAACCTTCTTTGTGTGCATCATCAAGCCATTGCAGGTATATATTCCTGCGTCCTGAAGCTTCTTTACATCTCCGGCATTAATACCTTGAGCAACCACTGTATAAAAAAGACAACACACATCTTTATAGATCAGAAAACCACTTGAAACAGAGATCGTGCGATCGAAAACGCAGAAACTGAATAAACAGAGCGATTAAATAATGAAGTATTGACGTGAAATCAAAGTGAAGTAGTGGATCGATTTAGAGCACAGACACAGAAAGAGCACTTCACCGAATGAATATAGAAAATAATGAGAAAAGTAACAGGATATGATGTTCTAGATTTACATTTGTCAACGGCTTCGAAGAGGTCTTCTTCATCCTCAACGTCTTCTCGTTCGACGAGCTGCAGTTGGCTCGATTCTTCGGATCTGGAAATAGTCAGATTACAGAACATTCACCAGCGATCAAATTCAGTTGAATCAAAACTTAAATCAAGAACAAACGAATCAGTTTCAGAGAAAGAGAACGAACTTAAGCGTGGCAAGCATCTCTCCGCTCTCTGGACGAAAAGTTAAATGAAATGATGAAATGTAGAGAAAGAGGGGGAAGGCGAGAGATAATTGAAATGTGAAGAACTCAGTGAGTAAAGAACTCAATATATAGGGCGGGAAATGAACAGGTCGGTTAACTGATATTTGAATCACGATTTTATCACAGTCACGCACTTCTTTTCGTTATTTTCTTTTTAATTTTATTTATTCATTCCTTTGAAAGTTAGTGGCATGCCGTGCGCATGAACTGTGGAGAGAGAGAAGTCGGGTAGAATTCAAAAGAATTGCAAGATTTTGGTACAGTTTCTAACTAGGATATTATTTTTTTTTGGATAAAATTTCACATGTTTGTTATTAATTTACGTATTAAAATATAAAATACACTATTATGTAGATAAAGCTTTTATTAAAAAAATTAATTTGATATTAAGTAATTGAAAAAAAAAAAATGTTCGCATCGAATGTTGAGAAATTTTGGACAAGAAACAATTGAGAAAGTTGTAACAGAAAGCAATTTCCCTAATCAGTTTTCAAAATTTACCATGAATATTCATACTCTATTTTGGTGCAAATAGATTTTTTTTTTTTGGTTAGTTGTTTTGCTTAAAACTTTCGTCCTAGTGTCGTACCCGTTTTTACACAAAATTCTTGACGTGATGCAGGGGCGGAGGACCCTGCTTATCAAGCATGGAGAAAGAGACCCAAAAAACATTCCAAATAGAGTGAAAATATTCAAGCCAAAAAAAAAAAAACTAACGTGCACACATTTTATTAAGATATTTGCCGAAAAACTGATGGAAGAATTATACTGACTAAAATGAAAAATAGGACTTTAAATTTGATAATAAAAAAAAGGAAAAATTGCAATTAGGTCCCATCCAAGGTAAATACAAAAAGATCTCTTGAAATCATGAAATTATTTTAAAGTCCCAAAAAAATTTTTGCAATAAATTTTATTTGTTTAATTACCAAATTACCCTTCCTTTTTTTTTTTTAAGTTTACATTGATAACTGAAAGAGCAGTGGTTGACAACTCAGGGTGCAAGGATTGACAACTATCGCGGCTGCTTTGACAACTTAGAGTGTGATATGCTGAGAAAATGCATTGTCAAACTAGCCGCAATAGTTGTTAATCCTTACACCCTGAGTTGTCAATCACTGTTCTTTGAGTTGTCAATGCAAACTAAAAAAAAAAGAAAAAAGAAGGTTAATTTGATAATCAAATAAATAAAATTTATTATAAAAAAATCTCTTAGAACTTCAGAACAATTTCATGATTTCAAAAGACCTTTTTATATTTAATTTCCTTGAGTGGGACCTAATTGCAATTCTCCCTAAAAAAAGATGTTACCCGAAAAAAAAAAGCCGAAAACAAGCTATACAAGTACAACTCATAAACTCGGAAAAATTATTTGTATTTTTTTTTGGTTGAAAAAAGATAAACTTTCTTGATCACTTTAGTTAGTATTTAATCATTAACGACATATGAATTTTCATTTTTTAAGAAAAAACTAGTGATTTCCTCAAAATTTGTACAAAACTTGTATTTAATTCAATCCGTTTTTAATTGGCAAAAACTCAAAATATAATCATTCCGTTACCGTCGACAGGAGAGGATGCCATGACATTGTCACGATGGTGCATATGCATTCAAATTCAAATTCAAAGTTATAAAAAATAAAAACTTGTAATGACTAAATTATTAAATAGTCGAAATGCAGTAAGTATATCAACTAAACTCATAATCGAATATTTTCGAGTCCGAGGTACATAGCTCACCCAACCAAAGTTTTCTAGTTTCATATAGAAAATGCTGAAGATTTGACTTCCACTCACTTCGAATACATGACACAGGTTTTATGAATATGAACCTTCAACCGTTTGTTAAGAAGCGCTTTATTAAGACACAGACAGCCCCAATAATGGACGAAGTCCAAGTGCAGATGGCTAGAAGCATTTTTAGCTTTAAATTCACAGTTAGATTGTAGGAAACATGGCGTATTTCCTTCTTTCAACATTGTAAATTTTCTTAATCAATGTTAGCTGAACTGGATCACAAGAACACTAAACAACGCATTTCTCATAACAGAAATTAAAATGCAAGAAAATTGAGTATTGCATCAAATTGACATTATTTTATGTAACAGTATATTCTGCCTTCATCATTCACATAACTTTAAAAGAACAGGATCAGTCAAAAGGCCACCTCCAGTTCACCGACCAGGATCCTGTCATCAGAAGGAAAACATCATCTATCGACCGCCAAAACAAGCGTAACGGCGGGGGAAAGCATTGAGGTGGCATTTATTGTGAGGGAATTCCAAAGATTTGAAAACCTAATATGGAAAAAATGTGGGCACAGGTGTCATCAGAAGAAAAAATGTGAAAAAACATATATGGTTGAAGACGAAAATACATGCTCAAACAGTTGCAAGTATTTGAAAAACTAAACCTTCACATACTAAACAACAGCAGAGGATTTGAGAGGTGTTGTTTGTGGGGAGGGGGCCAAGAGAAATGAGAATGCAAACCCATATAGTAAGGCGGGAAGACTTAAGCTCCAGAATATATCTATTTTACCTAGGACATAAATATGGATATTTAAATAGACAAGAAATTCAAAGAAGTTAGTTAACCTGTATCTCCGGGAACGATAAAATTTCCACACGATGTTCTGATTTGCCAAACATTTTAGGTTATTTGGTTAATCAGATACAAGCAGCAGCTAGCCAAAAAAAGAAAACTTATAAGTTACTTGTGAGGTAGTATTTATTTATAGATCATATGGAGGGTTTGTCAGATTTCATTCACAAGAAAGATTCTAAATTATGGATTATTGGGTACTTTATGGCCTATTTGAAACATATTGAAGATAATGCCTCTAAAAGAGTATTCTGAAAGCTGCAACAGAATGTCAGGTGGAAAAAATACTGTAGAAGTTGGTCGCCTGGTCCAGTTTATACTAATTGAAAGTTTGCTGAAGTGGTTTGGCTGCACGCAGAAGGTCATTACTTGATCAATGCTGAAGGGGCTTAAATTAGAATAATAAAATTGAAATCAGTTTAACAGAGGGCTTAAGACACTGTTAACCTGCAAGTCTAACTTCAACAGGACGCAAGACAATTAAAAGCGGTTAAAATAGTCTAAGGCTGTATAAGCTACGAACTTTGTATTTATTAAACAGCCAAACAAAAACCATATGGCGAGTTTAATCATGCCTGGCGTAAAGAATGAGAGAGCAGCGTATCACAGATTGGTGAAAACATAACATCATCAGTGTACTGTTGAGGAATGCATAGACAACGCATGCATGATCAGCCAAACATAAAGCCTCATAGAAAATTCACTTAACATGAATTAAAAAGATAGAACTCGCAACATTTTCAACTAATTCAAGGGGGTTTTCTACTGCAATTAAAAATCAAACCTTTAAAATATCTATAATGATTCTAGTGTAGCATCTATCGTGCTTTATCAACCACACACAAACTAATTTTCACCTTGAGAATATATAACATGAGTTATTGGATCAAAAACAGCTGCATAAACATGTACTATTTTTTCCCCCTCATCAATAGTTAAGTTCAAGTCTGTTCACATCCACAAAAACAACACTTGCTTCCCGACCAAGTCAATCACAGTCCCATGATAACCAGAATTTTATCGCCAAAACCAAATCCACTAAGCAAAAAACAGACTAAAACTCAACTTTGGTCCCTCACAGACAAATTATTTCTCAATTTGATGCCTTAAAGAATTACGTTCTCAACTTGGTTCTTCAAACATGGGTATTACTCAATTTGTTCCCTCACAAAAAAAGCCATTACCAATAATATTTTTCAGCTAGTCTAGCATACAAGAAATTAACAAAATAGGAGATACAATGATATAAATATTTTAATTTACCCTTAGCTGCTACTATTTTATATCATATAAATTGATAATAGATTCACTGTTAAGATGGTTATTAACAGATTTAGATTGACAGAAGGATGCCGATAACAATGACTTCAGCTGGCAAGAACCAAATTGAGTAAACTATGAGAGATTTAATTGATAAATGCCTCATCTGCCAGAGATCAAACTAGGAAGGCAGCTCTACTGGGCCTCATCTGCTAGGATCAGACGGGATTTAGACGCAGAAAATAGGTTTACCACTTCATCTCAAAGGGCCGAATAAATTTAACAGCATTATCAGCCAGTACATTCCCCCAGAAATGAAACCCATTTAAACTCTTCTCAATGGACAAAACGTGAAAAAACCACTTATCAATGAAAGCTCAAAGACATACATCAACGCTAAGCAAATGACACAAAATTGCAAAATTCCAGATCTAATGGCACTCAACAATCAAAATTAAGAAAAGCCTCTGATGAAATGTAACTTTCTAAAATATCCCAATCAATCAGAATGAGAGTTTAATTAAGATGGGCACCTGAAATATCGATGATGGAGAAATTAGTGGCCGCCATGGCCATGTTCCTTAGCATGCTGCTGGTGCTCCAGGTGACGGCGCTCGTGGGGGAGCGCGACAAGGTAGGAGAAGATCATGCCCCCAAAGCATACATGGTAGAGAGGAGTAATGGAGTCGGTCTCGATGTACTTGGCGCTATAGTTGTCCAAGCCTCTCTTAACAGCATTCTTGATATAGTCAAAGGAAAGCAACGGCTTCACATGGTTGGGAATCTCCGTCACCTTTTTACCTTTGATCTCGTTGTAGAAATTCCTCATCGCCATTGTATCGGATTGATTGAAGCAATTTCGCAGAAGTTAGATTTGCAGGGGAAGAAACCCTATCCGTGGAAATGGAGGTCCGATAGAACACAGCTAAACGGTCTCTGGGCTCGGAATGATTTAAGGGTGTGTTTGGATGAAACCAAACCGTGGTTTGAAAAAGTGATTCTGGAAAATAGATTCTGGGGAAAATAGATTCTGTGAAGAATAGATTTTGTAAAAAAGTGATTTTGAGAAGTGAGAGTGTTTGGATAGTTGTTATCAGAAGCACTTTTTATATATACAAATTACTAAAAAAAAGACATAAGTTAATATGATAATTACAGAAAAAATAGATTTTATGATATATTTTAATTTGAATGAATAAAATTGTTAATAATATGTTTTTTACCAACATAATTAATAATACATAAGATAATATAATTAATAAATATTAATGTGTATATATATTTATAAAATATAAGATTAAATATATTTATAAAAAATATGTTTATAAAAAAATAACAAGATACATATCATATAGGCCCTCACACTCTCCCTTTTTTCTCCAAAAGCAAAAAATTTTGCTTTTTCCAAAACCATGGTTTTGGAGTCAAAATCATGGTTTTGACCCAAAACCATGGTTTTGGTTTTTGGAGGGGGTGTTTGGGTAGGTTATTCCCCAAACCATGGTTTGGGGTGTAACCCAAACACACCCTAGTTGAGGAATAGTATCGACAATGTTAAACAAACAAACAAGTGGGGCATATTCGTTCCAAGCACTAGAAATATTTTCATTTTGATCTTTTTAGAGTTGGAAAAATTAATCTTAGCCAATCCTTTAGTTTCATCAGATTTTTAATTAATTTATTAAAATTATTTTCTTTTTATTGAACCTTTTAAATTATCTTTTTTGTAGAGAGTATAATAAAAACACTTAAGCTGATATTAACCTTTATAGTGAGTTTATATAGTAAATTAATCAAATAATTTTTGAAAAATTTAAACAAAACTTTATATACTATCTCCACTTCTTAATATAAGAGTTTGTTTAACTTTTATTTTGCTCCTAAATATAAGATCTTAATCTACTTTGTCTCTTATGTTTTTTTCTTTTTTTTTCAAGGTAATTCTTAATAATAATAGTTCTAGCCAATATATTTGATGATCAAGGATACTTTAAAAAAAATAACACATATTTATTACAAATAACTAATTTAACTAATTTTTTTAATCTGCTCAAATTAGTCAACTACTTTTTATATTAAGGACCGGAAGTAGTATATACATATAATATAACTAATTGATATGAGTGGCAAGTGTTTTAAATTTTTAAAACAAGTTGTTATTCATTTTGTAATTTGTGTATAAGTAGTTAACAAACTTTATTAGGACTTAGGAGAGAAAAATAGAATGTCTCTTATAGCATTTATCCAGGATACTTTAATTTTTTAACTATATGCCAAAAGAAAAAATTCTTTAACAAATAGGATAGTCAATAAAATTATGTAGATATATAAATTATTTTAAAGTTTTAACATTATTTCATTGAATAAAATTTGGACTAAGGGTCGGTTTTGAAAACATAGATATCTCTATAATTAAAAAAAAACAAAGGACGATTTATTTTACTTTCATATATATTATTCTTAAAAGTATTACAGAAAAATAGGATAAATCATATTGAATTATTGAAATTTAATATCTTGATAATTAGGTCAATATAAAATATATAATAAACAGTATTCTTTTGATGAATTACAATAAGTCATACTATTCATAAATGTGAATGATGTAACTCATTTTAAACTTAATATACACATGAAAATATCTCTGTAATTGAAAAGAAAGTCCCATGATTTTAATTGTAATGATGAAGATATTTTTTTTTTTGGGCCAACGATAAAGATAATTCATGAATTAAAACTTTCTTTTCGACCATCCAAAGGTTCTTCTGTAGTTAAAAAAGTTATGTTTTCAAATGTATTATGTTTTTTGGCCTGATAATAAAATTAAGAAAGATGTGTTATTGTATTTTAAATTGAATTAATTAAAGATTAAAGATAAGAGAATTAATTTAACAATGGCCTTTGTATGGAATCATAATTCGTCCGTTAACTCAATTCCCGTTCCGTTGTGAAATTTCAGAAATTAGTTACGTGGCAGACAGCATGAAACTACCAATTTGCCCTTCTATTACTATGTTCCTTCACGTTGCGCCTGGGCACATTTTTGAGGAAACTGGAGTCGTTTTCGTCATTGAAAACGACAGGCTTACAGAAGCAGAAGAAGAAGAAGCACGTTGTTCCTTCTTCTTTCTCTCCCTCCATTGCAATCACAGTTTATGAATGGGGACGTTTAAGAGCTTCAGAAAAGCCTATGGGGCTCTCAAGGACTCCACCATGGTCGGCCTTGCAAAGGTCAACAGCGAATACAAGGTGAGTTCCCCACATCTCACGCTCCATTAGTTGTAAAACTTCCTATAGCTCAATTTTCGATTTGTTCTAAATTTTTCTTTTCCTTTCATCCGTCTAATGTTTTGATCCTGCTTCATCTTCTTGTTGAAGGATTTGGATATTGCAATTGTAAAGGCTACCAGTCACGTAGAATATCCTCCTAAGGAACGTCATGTTCGAAGTGAGTTTATATACCTCGTTCTCTTAATGTGTCGTAATTTTCGAATACGATTCTAAGCTTTCGTCTTTAATATTGCATGCATTATCGCACAATTTGTTTCATTGAATCGACGGATCATTTTTTAGAGTTAAGTTTAATCAATCTGTGCATATTTTCTTTTCTATTGACTCCGATTCGAACAGTGAATTACTCGTTATCATAATGCCAACTTAGAGGAGAAATTGGATTGGTTTTTCATTGCAATAATTCATTTTCATTTGTTTCTAACCTCTTTTCTTTTGATCTTTGTGTCTCTCGGCTCCGCCTTGAACTCTATACAGAAATATTCTACGCGACGTCGGCACACCAGCCGCGGGCAGATGTGGCATATTGCATTCACGCACTTGCGAGGAGATTGTCCAAGACTAAAAGTTGGATAGTAAATCCTTTTTCGCTTAAAATCTTTTATATAATATAGAAAATTATAGAAAGTCTCTGAATAAGTTGGTGACAGAATTGATACCCCTGCTTTTCTTTTTATGCGCAAATATTGGCTGACAAGGTAAAAATTAAGAGTTGAACTCATTCGATTATTCACATTCAAAATGTACAATATGAATTGTGGTTCAATGTCCTTCCCGAACAATTGATATGTGCAAAGGGATGGATAGGGGCTAAACAGTTCTTAGGTACAACAAACCATTCAAAAATATGAAGGAAATGTATACTCTTGTAATTTCAATAGGATCATATATTTCTAATTAACTGTGATTTTTTAACCTTTTCTTGAAACTTACTTCGGCTTGACTGAATAATGATGTCAAAGGTTGCTGTAAAGACTCTAATAGTCATTCATAGGACTTTGAGAGAGGGCGATCCTACCTTCAGGGAAGAGCTTGAAAGCTTCTGCCGCAGGGGAAATATTTTCCAAATTTCCAATTTCAAAGATGACTCAAGCCCTCTAGGTAAATTAGTTCTGAAAATTGAATAAGTAACTTTTCTTCCCTATAGGCTCGTCTAGACGCTTTTTTTGTGTATGAATGTTGCTGCATTTCATGCCTAACCAGACTCTATGCAGCTTGGGATTGTTCTGCATGGGTTCGAGCATATGCACTATATTTAGAAGAGAGACTAGAATGTTTTAGAGTCTTAAGATATGACGTCGAGTCAGAGCGCCTAACAAAATCACCATCTGGGACTAAGGTGTGTGCTTCACCTTGTTTGAAACTGTAAGTTAATGTTTCCATTTGTTTTATTACCATGTTTAGAATATCAGACTTTAGCTTTGACAGACACATAGCAGAACCCGGATGTTGGCTTGTGATGAGCTGTTGGAGCAGCTACCTGCCCTGCAGCAGCTTGTTCACCGTCTTACTGGTTGTCAGGTGAAACTCATGTTTGGCAACTTGATGCTTGTAATTGTTTTGTCATATCACAGTCTTTTTCTTAGAATGATTTTTTATATGCTTTATTACCCCGCAGCCTGAAGGAGCATCTTGTTACAATTATCTCATCCAGTATGCGCTGGCCCTGGTACGAATGTATTGTAATTGTCGTTCATACTTCACTAGTTCTATGCTGCATGACTTCAGAAAGTTTCTTGAAACTGAGGGAGAATTAAAGCTCATATGCGGGAATATCGGATTCCTTAGCCTCTGAGAAGTTGTATGCATAATAAAACTGATATATTGGAAAAAGAAGAATGATTTGGCATTTATATTCATGAGATAATATGGGGAATCGTTTTGACTCGAAATAGTAAAAGAGAAGTAAAGCTTTATGAACAGTAATATAAACATCATTGATGTGTCCCCTCGCGTAAAGCCTTTTGGACTTTATGTATGAAGCGTAGACAACAGGAATTCCAACTATGTTGTGCTAAAACTCAATTTTAATTAAAAACAGGGGACAACAATGATCGATTAAACATTTGACAGCACAGTTTTTTTAACACCTGTCAAGAATTATTTCAACTAGAAAGCTTAAGTCGTTAAATGGGGGAATGGTTTCACTATAATCTTTTTAAAAACATTAATACTCCTCATTCTTCAAAAGCTCTCGTTTAAAAATGGCTCTTCAGATCACTGAAGATCAGAGATTTTTCTAAGATATCGAATCAGACGGTAGAATTGCTATCATCATGGACTTCTGCACATCTTTTATTGTAATTAAAAAAATTTATGAATTTCTTTCACTTCTCTTATATGATGACATCTCTACTTAGTCATCTGATTTTCCCTCTTCCTTTTTGTTTTTCTGGTATTTGGCAATGCTACTTAGGTATTGAAAGAGAGCTTCAAAGTGTATTGTGCAGTCAATGACGGAATTATAAATCTCGTGGACGTGGTAAACTTTAGTTTAATGTGATACTTTGATCTCTTGAGCTTAATTTTAGTTGTTTACTGCTAATTATCAACGTTATCCCTACCATGATGCAGTTCTTCGATATGTCTAGACATGATGCATTTAAGGCCTTGAACATATACAAAAGAGC